GTTCTCTTCAGACTTTTCTTGAGCAGAAGTGGTCAGTGGGATTGTGGTCAGGACGCTGAGTGATAAGAATTGGAGAAGATAGTGTGTCTTATGTAGTGGGGGCAAAAGTGAGACTTAACAGCAGCGATGCTGGTGGCTGCTCCAAGAGCACTGTGTGCTTGAGAACAATTTCTCCCGTCTTTATTTCTAAGCTCCGTGGTTGTCACAGATACGTTGTGCACACAGTCACCGTTGGGTCATGGGAACTTCTTACGCTGCAGTAAATGCATTTTGTGTTTTGGCTTCTGGACCACTGTCCCTGTGAGAATGTCATTACCATATCTTTTTTTCTTTCTCCCCCCCACCAACTCTTCTGCAGTCTCTGCTCGTGACAGTCAGAACTGCCCATGTGATTTTACGGTGAGTAGCTTCTGTTTTGCAGGGTGGTTGTTGGAGAGAGCAGTGAGTCCAGTGCGTTGGTTTCAGAGATGTGTGTCGTTACCTCGATGGATTGCGGATGCGTGTTTGGACAGAGGTTAACTTCAGCCTGTGCTATTTTTAAGCGTGGATTCTGCAACACACGCACAGCTTTAGTGGGCACTAGTAACTCGAGGCATGGGTTAAGATGGATGAGTGCAGCTGTGTGAGGGTCCCTGTGTGCTATTTGGTGTCATCCTACTGGCTTTCTTTTAAGATCTTAATCTTTTGTTTTGAGAAAGCATGCATGTCTGTCTGTAGTGCGTGTGTGCAGGCATACGTGGGACGTAGCGTTTAGGACAGAACTTTGCCCCAGTCGCTGTTGGCATTTCTGTTACCGAGCTGCAACGCCTCACCTGGGAAATGCCTTGTCTCTTGAAAAATGAGGGTCCGTAGTTACTCTAAGCCTATAATTGGCTTTTGGTACGTGCAGGAGTTTTAGCAAATGCTGCATCTTTTCTCTCAGCTGGCGGTATGCCAGTGTGGGCCAAGCATCAATTGCTTTTTGCCTTTTGAAAACATTGCTGTCTGAAACCAGTAACATTAAAAAAGGCCCCCAGGAAAGCACAGAGTGTGGGCGCTGGGCTTAGGAAGGGCAAAGAATCCATATCTAGGAGGTGTTTGAAAAAATAGATAAACCAGTTTGAATTCTAGAGATGCTGTTTAACAAAAGAGATAGAATAATGTTAATTTCCCCGCTCTTTCAGATACGTAATTCATCTCTGGGATCTCAACCACGAAGGAACGTGGGAGGGCAAAGGTACTTATGTCTACTACACAGATTTCGTCATGGAGCTGATCTTGCTTTCACTGGACTTGATGCATCATATTCATATGCTGGTATGAAACACTGGGCATAACATTGAGCAAATAGATTGGCCTTAAAGTTAAGGGTACTGGCTATACATTTGTGGTTTTGTTGCTTGTTTTGGGAAACAAATGTTACAGAGGAGTTATTTAAATAAAGAGGAAAATGTCGTGTGGGGCGTTCTGGCATTCTTTCTTCCTGTGTAGTTGGAGTCCTCATCAATAACTCTGTGACAGAGTATTAACTACTGTGTAATTAGCTGCTTTATAGGTGTTTAAATAGCTTTGTTACTGGGTAATACCAGACTGAATTATTTTTATTGGGAGCAGGGGACATTAAGTTGGACAGGACTGAATACAATTTATCCTTGTTATAAGTGCTGTGCTGCTTGAGTTGAACGTGAAGGTGCGATGGGTACGAATACCCATGAACACGTGTGGTTAGTCTGAACGCTCTCAACAACAGCAAAACTCTTCGGTGCTGGTTTCTCAGTTTCTTTTTCTCTCAAGCCCTAATACAGTTTCTTGTGACGGCCTCTTGTTTCCCACACTGTCTCTAATCACCGTTCTGTTTTTCCCCCGAAGCTGTTTGGCAATATCTGGTTGTCCATGGCGAGCCTGGTGATTTTTATGCAGCTGCGCTACCTGTTTCACGAGGTTCAGCGCAGGATTCGGCGGCACAAGAACTACCTGCGTGTGGTTGGAAACATGGAAGCTAGGTGAGCCTCATCTTCGCTCTGGGGTCGATGTGGATTTTGGAGGGAGGAGCTTGATGAAGGAACTCGGATTCTTCTACGTGCCTTTGATACATGATGGCATGGCATAAGCTGGGGACATGCAGTTGGGCAAATCTGGCTCTTAACTCTGTACACTTAGAGTATGTTTTTACCCATTTGTTACTGGGGACACCCTTTCTGGTTTCAGCAGATATGTGGGATTGACTTTTATAATAGCAGTGTTACTGGCAACAGTTATCAGGTGAGTGAACATCCCTGTCCAGTATTTCTTCTCCTGTATTCTCTTGTAGTCTGCCCTGGTGGGGTGACAGCAGCTCTGCCCGTTTCAGTTGTCACATACTGGCTTTGGCTGTGATAGAAATAAATGCTCTTATTCATTAGGCCATACTGTTCAGTTACTGCCTGAACTGAAATCAAAGTATTAATTAAAACATTCTCAGCTTTAAGGATGTGTTTATTAAACCTGAAGCCAACTCTTAATAGGCTCTGTACTTGTAGTGGAGCTGAGAGCACGTTGGCATTGCTTTAGTCCACCCCCCTGTAGCGAGGCGATGTAGTGAAATTGAGAGGCCTGCTAAAACCTGGTGTTGTGCCAGATACTACGGCGTCTCTGATCCAATCTTTTCATAACGCAGCTATATCCTTAATAATTTTAAGAGCAACAGGAAGTTTTTCTATCCCTCGCTGCACCATCTTCATTATGGACTTTGCTGGGTTTGACTAGCTCTGATGCCTGCTGCTGTAGTCCAGGTGAAGATGACTGACTTCTCTAGAAATTTCCCAAGGTTTTCTTTGTAAAAAGTCATTCAGTGGCTGTAATATCTGGTTAAAAGCTGCACAACAACATTCACGTACAGTGCATTGTTCCTTTTCAGTGAGATGCAGTAGCTAAAATCTCTAAGCTGCTCACAAAGCTATTTTGAGTTACAGGTGTCTCAGGCTTCTTGTCTGAGTGACTTGATGAGGTTTCTTTTTCATTCTGACTGTTCTGGAAGAACCACTTCCCAGCTTCCTCCTGAAGCTGCCAGTGGCATCCAGCTCCCTGCCTTTGTGTAGTTCTTCAGGTGTATTCGCCACCAGCAGTACTGTGAGACCTTGTGATACCACTCATCTCTCTATTTTCCGTGTTTGGGTACTGTGCAGTAGCTGCTTGCATGGCGCCGTGGTTTAAAATAAAAAAAATGAAGATAAATGAAGGTTGTCGAAAACTGAGGCCAAAATTAGTCAGACCGTAAATGCTTGGGATCCCAAGAAGACATCTTAATGGGTACAGCTATTAAAAGTCATTTAGAAAAATTACATAAGCCAAATTTATACGGGTTATAACTTGAGTGTCTCAACCTAACCATCATGCTTTTTGGAAGGTACCAGGTCAAAGCTTTTTACACTTAGGACGTTTGTGGAGATGTGCAAAAAAATGTGCCTGTAAGAGGGCATGGGAGGGATGTGTGTGTGTGGCTTTTGCAGAGTGAGTCTGGGTTACAGGAAAAAGCGAACCCACTGGCACACCTCTGCCAAGGAAAAGTTTACGTGGAGGAGAAGGTTTTCTTGGTGCGGGCTCCTCTAGCGAGGAGGCGGAGCTGTTGTAGTCATTACTTCCGTCTCTCCCTTTTCCTCCGTAGGTTCGCGGTTGCGACACCAGAGGAGCTGGCAGTCAACAACGATGACTGTGCCATTTGCTGGGACTCCATGCAATCCGCACGGAAACTGCCTTGTGGCCACCTCTTCCACAAGTAGGTTTCTGGGGCTGGAGAGGGCGCGTCCAGGAAGGGATGCGTGGGTGTGTCGGAAAGTTACAGCAGGATGACAAGTCCCCAGCTGTCAGCAAAGCTGCGAGTGCTCGCTGCCCGGGTCATCCCCATCTGTGTCTAGTAACAAACTGAAAGTTGTGCTCGCTTCAGTCGTTCTCGTGTTCGGGTTGTTGCACCTGGTGCGTTCTTTCTCCCCCCAAACTGAGAGTACGCATCTTGTCAGCTGGTGGGTGGGTACTGTGGAGTTCCGGTGTCTCCAGTGTGAGAACAGACTCTTCCGTGAGAGTGTGTTGACTTTCAGGTGAGGAATTAAAATTGGAGTTGGATCCTGAAGTACCTTTCAGATAAGAACTTTGAAGAGAAAACCAGGAATATTTTTTTATGTTGTGCATCCTTGCGTGGTGATGAGTCCTCTGGGAGAGTTGTGGAGGCCAGTTCTTATATGGATTATATGGATTCATGGAGGAGTAAAAGAGATTCTTAACCAAATTAGCTGAAGAGGTCCCTAAGCAGCTGGTAGCTGGAACTGGGAGACTCTTGGCCAAAGGATCTCTCTATTTCCTGCACTTACTCGGTAGTGAATAGTAGCAGATGCTCGTGAAGACAGTGCTGAGCTGGAAGTGCCTTTTCTGAGCGCTTCCGTAGCGGTGCCTACATTATTACACTTGTGCTTAAAAACGGAAGGAGATCTGGAGATTGAACCAGGAGTTTCTGAAGCGCCGTGCGATTAACATGCGGGGTCAGTGAAATTGTCCCCGCGGTGTCATATGAACGAGTAACTTTCTGCAAATAGCTTTTTGCTTTTCTGGTAGCTGTCAAACCAGAGGTTATAATCTGTGTGCTAATTTGTTGTCATTTATGACAAACCGTGCCATAAATATTTATCTGTGTTCCAAGAAGTCTCTAATGAGATAATGTGCCTCCGTAGCAGAAACTCCTCTTGCAATGCGACTGAATCGTATGAATATTTAATCACCTACTGAGCACTTGAGAAGCCCAAGGTCTTCTCTTCAGAAAGTTGTTTTCTCTGTATCTAAAAGGATCCTTACGGATTCTTTTCTGAGTTACACTTACCTCCTTGCTGCATTTAGAAAGGGAATATGTTACAGTGGATGACTTATGCTTGCACATAAACCCAGATGTAATTAGTAACCCTATTTACAACCTAGAAATGGTTTCCCTCCTCATAAAAGCCCAGTGATTTTGCCAACAGGCTGAACGTCGTCTCCACTCTCAGTTACATGGGATTGGTTTTTTTCATAGCCAGTTGTTTGGAGTGGGAGAGAAGCTGGCAGGGAAGATGCTGAGGTCAGTGCTGTGCCTAAATATTAAGGAACTTTAATGCAAATGAGCACCTGAATCTTTCAAGCTCTGTTGAAAGTCTCTACTTTACCATTTAGGAAGCAGTCGATTCCAAAAGAGTTGCTGCTCTGAACCATTGCTGACCTTGACCTCTTGACTTTGCTTTTAGGACTTTTTACTTCAAGCTCTGTCAGCCCAAACCTGTGATCTGTGCCTTCACTCCGTTTGCAAATACACAACTTTGGAAACAGATTTATCTGACTTTTTCATACGCATCCACCTTTCTAAAGCATTTTGAGAACTTGGCAAAAAAACCCACCCTGATGCTGGGAATAAAAACACCTCCCCCTGCAAGTGTCTAATACTGAGATGTGTTCAGTTCTGTGAAATTCAGTTCTTCCTTACTGAAAATTAGGTTTAACGTGCTAACAGGTACCCAACCAGGTCATATCAGTCTGCGTCAAAAAGTAGGCACAGCTCTGGGTGTTTCAACCTGAATTTCAAACATTTCTCACTTTCTGCAAGACAGCAAATGTTCAGAATTACGTAAACGCTGCAGTGGCGCAGCACTGCTTAGCATTAATAAATCTGTTTAGAGCTTTCCCAATTTGGTGGCGATTTGGGTATTGATATTTTTGAAGTGATATTTGAAAAACTTTGGAGGTGCCGTTGCCGTATCTCACCGGCAGAACCGCTGTGAAATTATGTTGGTATATTTTAAGTACTTATCCACTTGGGGATTTTTTGTCCTTTTTCAGTTGGGGCTGGGGAAAGAAAAGAAACACTTATTTCCCCCTCTGGGCAAAACTTGCTTGTTCTGAGCTAGAGGGACAATAAACCTGGAGAGTGTTTTGTGATAAGTCTGTATGCTGGTTTATAAAAAGTGAATGCTTGAGTGTTTTCAGCTGGAAGAATAAACTTGTGCCAGAGGAATAAACGGAGCCAGGAGATCATCAAGCGTACCCAGAAATGATCTGTGTGTTAATGTTCTGTACAGAATATGCTCGTGATACTGATGCCGTGGAAAAACGCTGCAAGCTCACCATTATCATCATTGTTTTCCTGTCAGCTCATGCCTGCGGTCCTGGCTGGAACAAGACACGTCTTGCCCTACCTGCAGAATGTCTCTTAATATCACTGACAGCCATCACGTGAGAGAGGATCACCAGAGGGAAAATCTGGATGAGAACCTGGTCCCTGTGGCAGTGGCGGAAGGCAGGCCGCGCCTGAACCAGCAAAATCACTTCTTCCACTTCGATGGTGAGCTAAGCGGGTTTGACACCCCGTGCTGTTGCCCACATCAGCGAAGGGAGCGGCCTCCTGCAGAAGGGAATTCTGCCCCTGCTTCAGATCAAACTGAAACTGTGTTTCTCAGGTTGTTCGGAGCTTTCACTGAAAGCTTTTTTGCCAGCACTCCCTGGTTTTAGATGCATTGTGGTTAGCGGCTGTGATGCTGGCATTTGTTCATTGCGTGAGAGAAGTTCATGTGTCTTACTTTGTTACCACGTGGCAGCTGCTCAGGGACAGTCAAAGAGAGAATAAAAAACTCGGTGGTGCAGTCTGAAAGTCGATCCTTTCCCCTGTCCCCCAGCTGTGTGTGTGGTTCAGAGAATCACAGAATCATTATGGTTGGAAAGGACCTCCAAGGTCATCAAGTCCAACTTTTTTCCCAGCATTTCTCTAACCACTACCCCATATCCTCAAGCGCCACATCTATTCGTTCTTTAAACACCTCCAGGGATGGCGACTCCACCACCTCCCTGGACAGCCTGTTCCAATGCCTAACTACCCTCTCAGTGAAGAATTTCTTCCTAATATCTAATCTAAACCTCCCCTGGTGCAACTTGAGGCCATTCCCCCTTGTCCTATCATTACTAATTTGAGAGACGAGACCAACACCAGCCTCGCTACAGCCTCCTTTTAGGTAGTTGTAGAGGGCAATAAGGTTGTCAGAAGTCCATTTGCCACTCAGTTTACAGGAAACTCGCGGTGCTTAGTTGAGTGCAGAAGTCTGCAGAAGCTTATTCTTAGAAGGAATCATGTAGCCAGAACTGTTCCTTGTATTCTTTTTTTCAGTGGTGTGCTCTAAGCATTCCCAAAGCAGATGCGGTCTCAGACCATGATGAATTCTGCGTGTGCAGACAAACGTATTCCGATAAAGGCAGTTTCTGTTGTCTAGCTTCCGGTTTTTTTTGATGATTTTGCATCGACGTGTACTTGTCTCCCACAGCCTCCTGGGTTTTCGATGGCAATCTTGTCGCTTCATTGGTGCAAATACTGGGCTTTGGCCTCTGTTCTTATGGAGCCTCCGTGACGTAGCTGAGACGCTGTGGACTTAACTGTGTGGGGACCAGGTTCAGCCTGGTCAGAAGCCAGCCTGGATTTAGTAAAATTGCTGGAATATTCCAGCAATGCATTCCAGAACTGAATTTGACTCTGGATTATTTTAGTTTTCCCTTTAATGGGAACATTCAAACAAGAAAACGAGGATGTGTTGTTTTCTCGATCCTCTCCCGGCCCTCAGGTTGCTGAGCCACTGTGGCTGTGTGTGGCAGTGATGGATTCATTCTGCCCATCTCCATGTTTGGGAGGCCTTGGGGACGTACTGCGCTGCACAACTCCCCACGTGCACCTTATGGGAATAGGAAGACTTACATTAAATACACGTAGAAAACCTCGCCTACCGAGAACCTCCTATTTTTGCTTGATTTTGTCGATGTTTTCTTGTTGTCAGGCTCTCGAATTGCCAGCTGGCTGCCCAGTTTTTCCGTAGAAGTGATGCACACCACAAACATCCTCGGCATCGCACAAGCCAGCAACTCCCAGCTTAACGCTATGGTAAGGCTGCCTTAGTAGTCTGTTCCTCAGCCTCCCTGCCTGTGTTGTGGGGGCAAAGGGGTGCTCGTAGGTGGAGAACGTCACGGGGAAGGCAGTCGGAACGGTGTCTAGATGCTGTGTGAAAGCTGTTTTTTTTTTGAGCGAAGCCTTGTGAAGTTAAGGCTATGCGTTGGCTCAGATGTGGAAACAGAACAGATCTGGAGGTAGGTAAAGGAGGGAGAAGAATTAGATGTACTTCCTGTGTAGATAGTCAGACTTTTAATGCAACTTCTTTTAGCTTTTTTCCAGTGCTTACCTTCACTGACAACTTGCAGTAGCAAAGGGTGTGAGTCCGTAACCAGAGAGTTCAGCTGTTTGCCCAGCGGTAGCTGATCAAATCTATTCTATCGCTTTTGATTTTATTTTTTTTTTAGTATTTATTTTTAATAGCACTAAGTACCAAGGTAGCTGTTCCTGTTTGTCTTGTTGGTGTGAGATGGGACTCTCTGTGGCACAGGCAGCTCCTGCGGATTCAGGATGATGGTAGGAGTGTCGAGGATGAAATCCCAGGTTTGGTGACATTGTACATAAACACTCTAATGCAGTAGGAAAAGAGAAGGATATGGCCTCATGAAACATATTTAGTTTGAGAAGTGATCTTTCCTCGGCGTTCTTAAAAGCTCCTGTGTGCTGTAGCATGTTAATTCGTGTTCACCGAGGTATCTCTTGAAAGTGATGGAATTTTCTCAGTGTCGCCTTCAGTCCTGTTTAAGCCTCAAGAGGATAAGATCACAATTTTTAGGGGGGTTGAGACAAGGTAGGCAGGGAGCAGTAAGGTGTTGACAGGTGATTTACTGGTTCCATGTGCAGGAATTCTCTCCATTGAAGGTCGGTTTAGTTTTTCTTTTACTTGTCCCGGTGACACAAATGGGCTTTTGCTAAGGATGAGCAGTGATTTCTTAGCATTGTGTATTAAAAACACAGCAGCAATTTGGGTATTAAAATGCCTGCTTTAATGGAAAGGCTTACGTTAGCAAACTGTTAGCGTTACACATTTTTAACAGAAAATAAGTGAAATCCTCCTCTGTGTTACTGAATAAAAACGTAAGGGGGTATTTTGAGGGAAAGGCCAGAGGCTGAAATGCTAAATCAGTTGTTCGGGTCACAAGTTGGTACAATAAAGAGTTCGATTTGCTGTAGTTGCTTCTGTTTGAACTCATTGTCGGCTGATGTGTGGCTTTTGCTTTGCTTTCAAAACTCCTTCCACCTTTCTTTTCCTGTTCATATTGTTCTCATTTCCCCCCCCCGAGTCATAATTTTCAGCATTAGTTAAAATACATATTTTAATATTAGTGAAGTCTGGCTGTTGGACTCTAAAGGCATGTTATCTGGCTGCCCGCTTAGTTTAATTTGGATTTTATTTTAGTAATTTGAAATTCCATACTAACAGTTCCCTGGCAACTCAGATGAATTAACTTGAGCTTTCAGAGCCTATTAATTGGGTTTGTAGGCAGGGTGGCTGGAGAGAGAGCAGGTTCTTAAACCTTATTCCACTCGTCCTTACTGGTACCAGTCTGGGACAAAGACCAAAATGATTTTTTTTTTTTTTTTTTTTCCCCAGTGCTGATTTAGCTATCGGTCGCTCATGTGAATTTTGTATAAATCTTTATTTATCTCCATTGAGATATAGCAGCTGACTTTACTGCTGGTACTGACTGCGTGACCCTTGCTTTCTGCAGGCCCATCAGATCCAGGAGATGTTCCCGCAGGTCCCGTATCATTTAGTTCTGCAGGATCTGCAGCTAACTCGTTCTGTGGAGATCACCACCGACAACATCCTAGAAGGGCGCATCCAAGTACCTTTCCCCACACAGGTGAGTCACGAGACCGTGCCCCTGCAATGACTTTATCACTTAGAACTGAGCCTGTTAACAACGAGCGAGGGGAACAGGGTAAGTTGAGGCGCTGGTGAATCCAGTTGAGCTTAATGCGGTGTTATCCTTCCAATTTTACCTGTAGGAAGATGTTGCAATAGGAAGCACCAAACCACTTTTGGCAGTCTAATGCGTGTTAGATCTCTGTGTTGCGACATCTGACTCCATCGGAATGTCTCACGGTGCTGCGTGAGCGAGGCGTGTGCAGCCGTTCCTTGCCGTGGCCCTGAGCAGAGGCCTTTTAATGTGCGGGTGGATCTCCTGTGTGCTTTGGCATTAGCCATTTGTCATATGGGTGCCCTGGTTTCGACTGGGATAGCGTTAATTTACATCTGGAATATTGTGTCCAGTTCTGGGCCCCTCAGTTTAAGAAGGATGAGGAACTGCTGGAGAGAGTCCAGCGTAGAGCAACCAAGACGATGAAGGGAGTGGAGCATCTCCCTTACGAGGAAAGGCTGAGGGAGCTGGGTCTCTTTAGTTTGGAGAAGAGGAGACTGAGGGGTGACCTGATTAATGTTTATAAATATGTAAGGGGTGAGTGTCACGAGGATGGAGCAAGGCTCTTCTCGGTGACAACCGATGGTAGGACGAGGGGTAATGGGTTTAAACTGGAACACAAGAGGTTCCGCCTAAATCTGAGAAGAAACTTCTTCTCAGTGAGGGTAACAGAACACTGGCACAGGCTGCCCAGGGAGGTGGTGGAGTCTCCTTCTCTGGAGACATTCAAAACCCGCCTGGATGCCTTCCTGTGTGACATCGTCTGGGTGTTCCTGCTCCGGCGGGGGGATTGGACTAGATGACCTTTCGAGGTCCGTTCCAGTCCCTAACAGTCTGTGATTCTGTGATTTTCTTCCTGGTACCTGCCAGAGTGCTGCGTTTTGTGCTGTAGGGAGGGAGTGACTGGGTGTGTGGGGCTTAGCTGCTGGCTGGGGTTAAACCATGACGGTCCTTTTTGGTGCCCAGCGTTGGGCTCTTAAGAATTGAGATAACAACAGACCCGACCTGAGCATGTTAAAATAAATTTATTATAGGCATTTATGGTATTAGTTTAATATTTGCTGGTCACAGAGTTGATTGAGTCGCTCTCAGAGTTGTGCTTGTTCTCAGAGTTGGGTTACGTAGCACCTCACTCGCTGTGTGTTCCCCGTTGTGATGTTCATCACCTCTGGGGGCTGGATTAAGGTTACCTTGATGTATTGTGTAACACTGGCTTATCACAGAATCCTAGACTGGCCCAGGCTGGAAGGGACCTTAGAGATCGTTTAATCCAACCTCCTTGCCATGGGCAGGGACGCCTCTCAACTAGATCCGACTGAACGGGAATCGAACCCGTGACCTTGGTGTTATCAGCAGCACGCTCTGACCGACTGAGTGAACTGGCCCCCTTTATCGTATGATAAATACTGATTGTGAGACTCCTCTGGTATTTGTGCTCAGCATTGCCATCATCTCCGTACTTCGGGAGCCATCTCTCGGAAGCGATTAATAATTACAGCCTTTACCTTTGCTCCTTGGAGAGCCGGTCTGTGGGGGAGACAAGAGGGGACACTTCCCCTGCTCCTTCACCTTCTCCTCCAGACTACTCCAACCCTCACTGCACTCACAGTGGCTACTCCAACCCTGGCGACAGGCTTTGCAGCTCAGCCAGAGAACCAGCCCCTGCTGGTATCGGTCGCCCCTAAACACAAGAAGAAATACTGGAAGTCAAAGTCAGCTCGTCTAGTACGGGGAGAAGTGGGTGAGGCAGACTACTCCAAAAGAGGGCAATCTCGAGAAGAGGAGGAGGAAGAGGCAGAACTCACAAATGAGGCAGTGACCACCCACCCGATCCCTTTTGCTGAGGAAGCTGTGAGATAGGTGAAAAAAATTTCAGCTGCTGTCCAGGCATCACCTGGCTTCTCAGATGCCAGAGTAATGGGGCCAGTAGCCTGGAATTAGAGGTTGGGGAAGCCAAAGTGAAGAAAATAGTCCAAAGTCTTCTGAAAGCTGGTTATGCCGTAAAATGAAGTAAGCTTAAGGGACCCACACAGCAGATTATGTTTTGGGGAATAAAATGGCAAGATGGACGTCATCAGATCCCAAAGGATGCGATTAATAAAATAACAGCCCTGCCTCCACCAGCTCGTAAAAAGGAAGCACAGGCTTTCCTGGGCGTCGTGGGTTTTTGGAGAACACGTACTCCAATTTACAGTCTGCACGTAAGGCCTCTCTACCAAGCGACCCAGAAAAAGAACGATTTCAAATGGGGCCCTGACCAACAAGTTTTGGGGTTGGGGATACAGAGATTCTGAGACGTGTTACACT